ACCTGGGCCAGCTCAGGGGGAAGATTTTAATTTTGTTTTTGCTTTTTGTAGCAGAAAGATGCACAAAAACACCTGCATTGAAGCTCTAATTATCTACTCTTTTGGGGTTTATTAGGTTTTTTTCTTTAATCTTTTGGGGTTTACTTTTGTTTTCCTTAGGATGGAAAATTTTGCATACTTATGTGGATAAGAATAATTAATTTAATTTGGAATGCTCAGAAGTGAAGTCCATGTGAAAAATGAAAACTCAGAAGAAGTCCATGTAAAAAATGGAAACTAAAGAGGAAAAGGGCTGCTGGTTTATTTTGTATTTTGCTCTTTTCTGTGAACACAGTAAAGTTCTTTTAATTTTGGTTAAAACCAGCTCTGGCTGTCACCACATCCAGGGCCTGTGGAACACATTGCCCTTGGGGAATTTCTGGAATTACAAAAAAATCCATTTTTTTGTAGGATTATCAGTGACCTGTGCCTGGTGCGAATGAGGGGGGACTCTTGTACACCTGGGCCAGCTCAGGGGGAAGATTTTAATTTTGTTTTTGCTTTTTGTAGCAGAAAGATGCACAAAAACACCTGCATTGAAGCTCTAATTATCTACTCTTTTGGGGTTTATTAGGTTTTTTTCTTTAATCTTTTGGGGTTTACTTTTGTTTTCCTTAGGATGGAAAATTTTGCATACTTATGTGGATAATAATAATTAATTTGATTTTTAATGCTCAGAAGTGAAGTCCATGTAAAAAATGAAAACTCAGAAGAAGTCCATGTAAAAAATGGAACTTAAAGAGGAAAAGGGCTGCTGGTTTATTTTGTATTTTGCTCCTTTCTGTGAACACAGTGAAGTTCTCTTAATTTTGGTTAAAACCAGCTCTGGCTGTCACCCCATCCAGGGCCTGCGGAACACATTGCTCTTGGGGAATTTCTGGAATTACAAAAAAATCCATTTTTTTGTAGGAGTATCGGTGACCTGTGCCTGGTGCGAATGAGGGGGGACTCTTGTACACCTGGGCCAGCTCAGGTGGAAGATTTAAATTTAATTTTATTTTTTGTAGCAGAAAGACGCACAAAAACCCCCTGCATTGAAGCTCTAATTATCTATTATTTTTTGGGGTTTATTAGTTTTCTTTTAATCTTTTGGGGTTTACTTTTGTTTTCCTTAGGATGGAAAATTTGGCATACTTATGTGGATAAGAATAATTAATTTGATTTTTAATGCTCAGAAGTGAAGTCCATGTGAAAAATGAAAACTCAGAAGAAGTCCATGTAAAAAATGGAAACTAAAGAGTGAAAGGAATTCTGGTTTATTTTGTATTTTGCTCTTTTCTGTGAACACAGTGAAGTTCTCTTAATTTTGGTTAAAACCAGCTCTGGCTGTCACCACATCCAGGGCCTGCGGAACACATTGCCCTTGGGGAATTTCTGGAATTACAAAAAAATCCATTTTTTTGTAGGAGTATCAGTGACCTGTGCCTGGTGAGAATGAGGGCACTCAGAAAACAGGAGTTTGAATGATGTCTCATCCCTTGCTAAGAGCTGGCCTTTCCTCCTTTATTCTGGCAGAGTTTTGATTTGGAATTGCAGCAGGAAAGCTGGAAAACCTTCCCTGAGGGTTTTTGCTCTGCCCTGAGCCAGTGGATTGTTTGTTGCCTCATTTCAGGGTCACAGGTTTTGGCAGGAGCTGCTTCTGTGGGCTCCCTTTATTTGCACTTTATGTGCAGCAATAAATTACATTTTACATCTGAGATTTTACTTGGGCAAGAAACACCAGGAGCATCAAGAGACCTTCCTGACAGCCTCCAGGTGTGGGTGTTGCTTGTGCCTGTTCTTTGGGTAGGAAGGGATGCTTAAATACCCTGTAAATACTTACTTAATACTTATTTTTTATTTATTACGTATTTATTATTTATTTAATTACTTATTTATTACTTATTTGTTTAATACTTATTTATTACTTATTTAATACTCATTTTAAATACTCTGGAGGTTCGCCCTCCACCACAGGCAGTGCCATTGAAGCTGGGACACCTCCGGTGTCACAGAGCTGGGGTTTCACCCTCAAGTTCAAAGTGATAAAACCCCACACTCTGCTCCCCTTTTCCTCTTGGGAAGGAAATTTTTCCCCCTCAGGATTAGCAGAAATCATGGAGCAGAAGATACCCAGCCGGGTTTTTGTTAGATATCCAAATGCCAGAAATAGAAATATGGATTGGGAGCTGACCTGGAGAGCTGGGCCCAGCGGGTGAGGGGGGAATTCTGTCCCTGTGTCCCCTCAGGCGATTCCCCAGCTGCAGAGCTGCCCCAGCGCAGGGAGGAGCTGGAGCTGCTGCAGAGAGCCCAGAGGAGGCTCCAGGATGGGCAGAGGGATGGAGCAGCTCTGCTGGCAGGAAAGGCTGGCACAGCTGGCATTGCTCACCTGCACAGGAGAAGCTTTGGGCTGAGCTCAGGGCGGCCTTGCAGGGCCTGGAGGAGCCCCAGGAAAGCTGGAGAGAGACAATGGCCAGGGGATGCAGGGACAGCACACAGGGAATGGCCCCACACTGAAAAATTACAAGTTTAGGCGGGATATTAGGAAAAAATCCTTCCCTGTGAGGGTTGGCAGGCCGTGGCACAGGAGAAGCTGTGGCTGCCCCTGATCCCTGGCAGTGCCCAAGGCCGGGTTGGACACTGGGGCTGGAGCACCTGGGACAGTGGGAGGTGTCCCTGCCATGGCAGGGGTGGCACCGGGTGAGTTTCAGGACATTCCTGTGCTGGCAGGAAAGGCTGGCACAGCTGGCATTGCTCACCTGCACAGGAGAAGCTTTGGGCTGAGCTCAGGGCGGCCTTGCAGGGCCTGGAGGAGCCCCAGGAAAGCTGGAGAGAGACAATGGCCAGGGGATGCAGGGACAGCACACAGGGAATGGCTCCACACTGAGAAATTACAGGTTTAGACCAGATATTAGGAACAATTTCCTCCCTGGGAGGGTGGGGAGAAGCTGAAATAGAATTCCCATCCCAGCTGTGGCTGCCCTGCATCCCTGGCAGTGCCCAAGGCCTGGTTGGAGCAGCCTGAGGTGTCCCTGCCATGGCAGGGTAGGAATGAGATCATTTTAAAGTTTCCCCCAACCCAAACCATTCTGGGATCCTGTGACTGAATGGTCTCGTTGGGTTTGTTGATTATTAACCAGAAATTCTCTGGGAATGACTTAGAAAGGAGACAGAACCCTTGGGGTTGTTTGTTCTGTCCTCTTGTTCCCTTGGGAAACATCCCAACACCAAAAGCTGCAGCTGGATTCCCTTGCTGGTGTGTAAACCATTTATTTAATTGCACTAAATAAACAGGTAAATTTAGCTGATGGTCTAATTATGAGCAAGTAGAATAACTGACAGCTCACCCTCAGCTTGTCCACCCAAAATAAGTTTTTTTCTTCCTTCAGTCAATGTTTTACATCTGGTGTGTGGGGGTGAAAAGCTGAACCTCGTGGAAGAGGTGTCACAGTGAGGGAAGCTGCTCTGAGGGAGTTGCGCTTTGTCTCCCCATGTTTTGCAACATGGCAAAGGCTGAATTTGTGATTTTTTTTTAGGTCATGAAGTCCGGTCTCTAAAAATTCTTTCGTGGGGGAGCAAGTGGTTTGTGTATCCAGTTGTGTCTCTTACTTGTGCAATGTTTCCTTCCTGGAAAAAGGAATTTTTGATGTAGATAAACATCTTGAACCCTTGTGGTTTAGTCAATGCTTCTAATTTTTATTTTTGAATTTTATAAATAATTTTTATAAATAATTTTATAAATAGATATAATTTTATAAATATTTTAAATTAAAATTAGGAGTTTAGGATTTGAGGATTTTAATATTTGCGGCCTATGAGATTTGAGGCCTTTGAGATTTCCCCACCCTGAGCTCTTTGTCCCTCACCACAACCTCTCAAATGGCTGAAGAGTTTTTGAGTTTCCTGTAGAAAATGCACCATCATCACACCTGCTGAAAGCAGAATGCTAAATGTGGTCATGAATTAACTTATTAATTTATGATAAAGTGAATTTTTAAAATATATCTGCCCAGTTTTTACCACTGCTGCATGTAAATGTCCATTCTGCAGAGCTTAACTTGAATTTTTTAATTAATCTAATCTACCTGCAGCCCTGATTCAAATGGCTGAAGAGTTTTTGAGTTTCCTGTAGAAAATGCACCATCATCACACCTGTTAAAAGCAGAATTCTAAATGTGGTCATGAATTAACTTATTAATTTATGATATAATGCATTTTAAAAATATATCTGCCCACTTTTTACCACTGCTGCATGTTAATGTCCCCTCTGCAGAGCTTAACTTGAATTTTTTAATTAATCTAATCTACCTGCAGCCCTGATTCAAATGGCTGAAGAGTTTTTGAGTTTCCTGTAGAAAATGCACCATCATCACACCTGTTAAAAGCAGAATTCTAAATGTGGTCATGAATTAACTTATTAATTTATGATATAATGCATTTTAAAAATATATCTGCCCACTTTTTACCACTGCTGCATGTTAATGTCCCCTCTGCAGAGCTTAACTTGAATTTTTTAATTAATCTAATCTACCTGCAGCCCTGATTCCAAATGCACTCAGAATTGATTGGGGATGAAGAATTCCCTGGGAATGGCAAAGGAATAAATTCATTCCAGCTGTGGGTGCACCTTGTAGTTAAACCCTTGTAGTTTAATTTTCTTCTTTTAATCAGCGTTCTTGCTTGGCGTTTCTGCTGAAGGAAACAAATCCAGATATAATTTTTCTTACAGCTCTGCTGCATTTTTCTTGCTTGGAGCTTTTAGAGCCTTGGAACTTTAGAGCCCAAAGATCAATTTGGGAATGATTCCTTGCTGTGGATATTTTTCTCTTCCGTCAGGGCTCAATCTTTGCTGCCTAAACCAAACCCCTGTCAGTAAATTATTCAATTCTGCAGTTCCTCTTGCAAAATCACAATATTGCTGCTGCTTGAGGATTTCTCCATCATTTTCCCCGACTGAAAGTCGTGCGTGTGCTCTGTTCTAGATTGTCAAGTGGTCAGAGTTTTGTTCACCCTTGGCCTATAAAGCTGGGGAGCCTTTTCAGTTCATGGCCGCAGCCAGTGTAGATAATTTCAGCAGCCTGGGCATAGCGTTCCTGGAGGACAGGCTGCGCATGGAGAACGGGATGGTGCCGCGCAGGATTGTTTGTAAGTACCCTGCTGATCCTTTTCGTGCCACAGCTTTCTTGATTTATGCTCATTTTAGCGTTTTGGGCAGCGGTTTTTTGTACCTACCTGAAAAATTTGCCATTTTTTTGGCAGTGTTTTCTTCCTGCTGGGATTCCAGGTTGATCCCTCTGTAGCTCTGCTTTGATTTTGGAGGATTTGGAATGGTTTGGGTTGGAAGGAAACTTAAAAATCATCCATTCCCAGCCCCTTTTTCTATCCCACAATGCTTTCAGAAGTTAGAAAATAATTTCTTTAAATTTTGTCTGTTAGCTTAGCAAATCTATTTTTGAAAATCCAAACTTGAAGTTTTTAGGCAAATGTTCTTTTTTTTAAAATATATTTTAAATTAACATCTATTCAAAGCTGAATATGGATGGAGAACAATTTGGGGTGGAATTTTTTTGGCCTTTTTTAATGGGGTTTGTATTTGCTTTGCTGATTTTTTAGTGTAGATCAGAGTGCACAGGCAGAAATGAGGGAATGACAAAATCAACAGCATTGAGCTGAATTGCAGGAGTTTTTTATACCTACCTGAAAAATCTGCTTTTTTTCTGGCAGTGTTTTCTTCCTGCTGGGATTCCAGGTTGATCCCTCTGTAGCTTTAGTTTAATTTTGGAGGATTTGGAATGGTTTGGGTTGGAAGGAACCTTGAAAATCATCCATTCCCACCCCCTTTTTCTATCCCACAATGCTTTCAGAAGTTAGAAAATAATTTCTTTAAATCTTCTCTGTTAGATTAACAAATCTATTTTTGAAAATCCAAACTGGAAGTTTTTAGGCAAATATTCTCATTTTTTTCCATATTTGAAATTTAAGTATATTCAAAGCTGAACATGGATTGAGAACAATTTGGGGTGGAATTTTTTTGGCCTTTTTTAATGGGGTTTGTATTTGCTTTGCTGATTTTTTAGTGTAGATCAGAGTGCACAGGCAGAAATGAAAGAATGACAAAATCAACAGCATTGAGCTGAAGTGCAGGAGTTTTTTATACCTACCTGAAAAATCTGCTTTTTTTCTGGCAGTGTTTTCTTCCTGCTGGGATTCCAGGTTGATCCCTCTGTAGCTTTAGTTTAATTTTGGAGGATTTGGAATGGTTTGGGTTGGAAGGAACCTTGAAAATCATCCATTCCCACCCCCTTTTTCTATCCCACAGTGCTTTCAGAAGTTAGAAAATAATTTCTTTAAATCTTCTCTGTTAGATTAACAAATCTATTTTTGAAAATCCAAACTGGAAGTTTTTAGGCAAATGTTCTCATTATTTTCATATTTGAAATTTAAGTATATTCAAAGCTGAATATGGATTGAGAACAATTTGGGGATGGGATTTTTTTGACCCTTTTTTATGGGGTTTGTTTTTGCTTTGCTGGTTTTTTAGTGTAGATCAGAGTGCACAGGCAGAAATGAAGGAATGACAAAATCAACAACATTTAGCTGAAGTGCAGGAGTTTTTTATACTTACCTGAAAAATCTGCTTTTTTGTTGGTAGTATTTTTCTTCCTGGGATTCCAGGTTGATCCCTCTGTAGCTCTGCTTTGATTTTGGAGGATTTGGAATGGTTTGGGTTGGAAGGAACCTTGAAAATCATCAATTCCCACTCCCTTTTTCTATCCCACAATGCTTTCAGAAGTTAGAAAATACTTTCTTTAAATTTTGTCTGTTAGATTAACAAATCTATTTTTGAAAATCCAAACTGGAAGTTTTTAGGCAAATTTTCTTTTTTTTTTTTAATATATTTTAAATTAACATCTATTCAAAGCTGAATATGGATGGAGAACAATTTGGGGTGGAATTTTTTTGACCCTTTTTTAATGGGGTTTGTTTTTGCTTTGCTGGTTTTTTAGTGTAGATCACAGTGCACAGGCAGAAATGAAAGAATGACAAAATCAACAGCATTTAGCTGAAGTGCAGGAGTTTTTTATACCTACCTGAAAAATTTGCTTTTTTTTTGGCAGTGTTTTCTTCCTGCTGGGATTCCAGGTTGATCCCTCTGTAGCTTTATTTTAATTTTGGAGGATTTGGAATGGTTTGGGTTGGAAGGAACCTTGAAAATCATCAATTCCCAGCCCTTGCTGTGGGCTGGGAGCCCTTCCTCTATCCCAGGGTGCTCCAAACCAGAAGTTAGAAAATACTTTATTGAAATCTTGTCTCTTAGACTAACAAATCTAATTTTGAAAAATCCAAACTGGAAGTTTTTAGGCAAATATTCTCATTTTTTTCCATATTTGAAATTTAAGTATATTCAAAGCTGAACATGGATTGAGAACAATTTGGGGTGGAATTTTTTTGGCCTTTTTTAATGGGGTTTGTATTTGCTTTGCTGGTTTTTTAGTGTAGATCACAGTGCACAGGCAGAAATGAGGGAATGACAAAATCAACAACATTTAGCTGAAGTGCAAGAGGACAGGAATATTCCCCCAAAAGATTCTGATGGGAAATTCTGTCTCTCTTGGTGCTGTTTTACATAAATATTCCCCCAAGGAAGGCTGGAAGCTGAGGGTGTCCCATTCAGTCCCTTTTTTAAAATGTTTTCTGCCTCCTTTTATTCCCAGTGCTGTGTGGGAGCTGCTCCAGAACAGGAATTCCCTTGGGATATCAAAAAATAAAAGAAGAAATCTTGCTCAAATCTTGCTCAAATCTTCTCCAAAGGGGATGCAGTTTCATAATAAGGAAAGCTGGATTAACAAAAATTTTGTCCATCAAGTTTCTCCCCGGATTAAAAGCACAATAAATTGGTTTGGCTGTGTGTGAGTGGGGAAGGATTCAGGAAAATGTTTCATATTTCAGATTTATCCTTGTGATGAGGGTTTTGTCTCTCCTCTTTGCTCTGCACGTTTCTTGCTGGCAATAATCATCTTTGCTCTTCTCTTCTCACTTTATTTGCTCTGAATTCACGTTTCTGTCATTTTCAGGGGAAAAGGGGAATTTTTAACAGTTCTTCTTATTTTCTTGTTTTCCCTTGGATTCTTAGCTCCCAGATCTTGCTGTGCTGGATCTCTCTGCCTTTCTGCAGGCTGAAATCTGTTCAAATCTCTTTTTACTCCCTTTCCTCGTGCCAAACCTTTATCTGCAGCCTTCAGCAGCGCAGGGGACGTGGTTCAATATCTGCCTTACCCAACACCATCACTTTATTCGCTTATTTCAAAACAGTTTATTTCAAAACAGCAGCAGTTTTAAACCCTGCCCTCCTTAGAAGAGCTGTGTTTTTCCAGAGGTCTTTTTCCTTTTTCCTTTCTCCTTTCTCCTTTCCTTTCCTTTCCTTTCCTTTCCTTTCCTTTCCTTTCCTTTCCTTTCCTTTCCTTTCCTTTCCTTTCCTTTCCCTTCCTTTCCTTTCCCCTTTTCCTTTCCCCTTTTCCTTTCCCCTTTTTCTTTCATTTCCCCTTTTTCTTTCATTTCCCCTTTTCCTTTCCTTTCCCCTTTTCCTTTCCTTGATATTTCCTTTCCTAGAAATTTCCTTTCCTTTCCTTGAAATTTCCTTTCCTTGATATTTCCTTTCCTTGAAATTTCCTTTCCTTTTCTTAAAGTTTCCTTTCCTTTCTTCATTTTCTCCTTAGATTTATGGTATGAGTGCAGATCTCTGTTGTCCTGAGGGGAAATAGGATTTGTTGCATCAAATAAGTGAAGTTCTTGCTGTTACAGGGAATTTATGCTTAAATTGGATTCTGCTGTTAATGATATTTATCCTAACCCTTTTAATCTCATTATTTAACCCTTTTTGTGGCATCTTTACCTTTTGCAGCTGTCCATTTAGAGGAATCAGCTCTGAAGGAGTTGGCGAAGCAGAGGAAAGAGGAAGAGGAAAGCCCAGACATGGATGCAGTAACTCCCGCGGGGAAATCGGGGTTAGGAAAAGCTGAGGAGGACAAATCCAGGCTGGAAGAAGAAAGGGAAGACGGGGGCACAGGAGGTGGGGAGCAGCACCACCTGCACCTCTCCAGCTGCCACGAGTGCCTGCAGCTGGAGAGCAGCACCATCGAGTCGGTGAAATTCGCCTCAGACGAGAACACCCCCGAGCTGCCCCAGGGCTGCAGCAGCGCAGGGCAGGACAAGGAGCGCCAAAATCTGCAAAAAGGCGTCAGAAGGATAAACCTGGCTGGGAAAGCCCCGAATATCCTGATTTACCTGGGCTCTGAGGCCGCCGAGGGGAGGCTGGAGCAGGTGAAGGCGGTGCTGAGGGAGTGCGTCGGTGCCGAGAGCTACGCCCTGTACCAGCTGCGCCAGGAGCGGGTGCTCAGGGACCCCTGGCTCGAGAACTGCCTGCTGCTGCTCATTGCCACCGAGGAGCCCCTCCCCGAGGCCGTCCACGGGCAGTTCGTGGCGTTCCTGGCCAAAGGGGGGAAGATCCTCGGCCTTTCCTCCTCCTTCGCCTTCGGGGGCGTGCGGATAAAGCGCAAGGACGAGCTGAGGAGGGTGGTGCACGAGCTGGTGGTGTGCAGGCAGGGCGGCGGTGAGGCGAGGCTGAGCCTGCTGCTCAGCGGCTGCGTGTTTGAGGAGGGCACGAAGGGAGATGGCAGCAGGGTGAAGGTGCTGGGCCGGCTGAGCAGCGCCGCCGAGGACGCGGTGATGGTGCGCCTGAGCCACGGCAGCGGTGCGGGAGAAGCCATCCTTTGCCAGGTACTGGGAGCAGGGGGAATTCGTTTCCTCCTGAAAAGTTGTTCCCGCTGCGTGTTCTTGGGGGTTCCTGTCCAGGGGAGGGGTGGAATCATGGAGTGGTTTGGGTTGGGAGGGAGCTGAAAGATCATTTTGTGCCACCCCTGCCATGGCAGGGACACCTCCCACTGTCCCAGGCTGCTCCCAGCCCCAGTGCCCAGCCTGGCCTTGGGCACTGCCAGGGATCCAGGGATGGAATTCCATCCCAGCCCTGCCCGCCCTGCCAGGGAACAATTCCTCATTGCCAGGATCCCACCCAGCCCTGCCCTCTGGCACTGGGAGCCATTCCCTGTGTGCTGTCCCTGCATCCCCTGGCCATTGTCTCTCTCCAGCTTTCCTGGGGCTCCTCCAGGCCCTGCAAGGCCACCCTGAGCTCAGCCCAAAGCTTCTCCTGTGCAGGTGAGCAATGCCAGCTGTGCCAGCCTTTCCTGCCAGCACAGGAATGTCCTGAAACTCACCCGGCGCCACCCCTGCCATGGCAGGGACACCTCCCACTGTCCCAGGTGCTCCAGCCTGGCCTTGGGCACTGCCAGGGATCAGGGGCAGCCCCAGCTGCTCTGGGCATCCCCACCCTCCCAGGGCAGGATTTTTCCCCAGTTCCCATCCATTCCTGCCCTCTGGCACTGGGAGCCATTCCCCGTGTGCTGGCACTGCCAAAGGGAGACGGACTGAGGCACAATCCAGGTCTCCAAGGGATTTCCCCAAGTTCGCAGGACAATGCACCAGGCCAGGAATGGGATGGGCCAAACCCACAACAGCCACGGCACGAGGTTTGCCCGGTGTGAGGATTGGGCAGAGGGTGAGCAAAGTGCTCAGAGGGGAGAAGGAATCACAGGTTCAGACAGAAAAGGTTCAGAGAATCCCAGAATCCCAGAGTGGGTTGGGTTGGGAGGGGTTTTAGGGATCACCCAGTGCCACCCCTGCCATGGCAGGGACACCTCCCACTGTCCCAGTGTCCAACCAGGCCTTGGGCACTGCCAGGGATCCAAGGATGGAATTCCATCCCAGCCCTGCCCACCCTCCCAGCCAGGAATTCCTTCCCAAAATCCCACCCAAATCTCCCCTTTCCCAGTGGGAGCCATTCCCTGGATGTGCAGGGATCCAAGTTCAGAGTGGGTTTCACTTGGTGTTGAAGAAGTGCAATGTCACTGCTGGAAAAAACATTTTCTTATTTTTACCATGGATCAGGCAAGCTAAAACAAAGTTTTGTGCGGGAATCAGGAATTTTACTCATTAATCCCTGGAAATATCTCCAAGAGGTGCCAGAGGATGGTGCCAGAGCTCAGGGACAGCACAGGGAGCCGTGGCCACCAACCAAACCCCAGAAATTTCCGCCTCCACGTGAGGAGGAATTTCCTTCCGTGGATATGACACAGCCCTGGAGCAGCTGCCCAGGGAGGTGATGGAGTTTCCCTTTCTGGAACATTCCAGAGCCACCTGGACACTTCCCTGTGCCACCTGCTCCAGGTGACCCTGCCTGAGCAGGGGGTTCAATGGGTCACCTCCAGAGGTCCCTTCCAATCCAAATTATTCTGGAATTTTCTCATTTTCCAGAGCAGAGCTTTCCCTTTCTGCCTGCTGGAGGTGGTGCAGGAACACAGCTTGAGCAGATTTTGGGATTTTGGCAATAAATCCCACAAAATCCTTACAAAAATAGGAATTGTGGCAAAGCAACAAGTGCAGAATAAACCTTGCTGGAAACTTTTTTGTTTCCTGAGTCATTATTCTGGCTTTAAATGTTTAAATGTTTAATATTCTGCAGCTATCAAATAGCTCAGAGAATCTGGGCATGGAATTGGGGTAGTTTAGGATGAGCCAAAATCATTAATTCCACTTAAAAGTAATATCCCGCAATATAAGTGGGATGTATAATATAAAAAGTGCCTCTCCAGTATCATGGTATTGTGATCTCTAGTTAAAAAAACACCAAAACAGCCAAAGAAAACCCTCAAAAAAACCACCAAAAACAACCCAACCTAACAAAAAACAAACGAAAAAACCCCCAAACAAACAAACAGCAACAAACAAGAAAAAACCAACCAAACAAAAAACCCCAAAGCAAAACACAAACAAAAAGACCCCAAACAAACAAACAAAATCAAACCCCACCCAAAAAAAGCCAAACAGATAAGGTCAAGTGTTCATAATATTTTTTTTCTTACTTTTTTCTTCATTTTGCCTTCTGGATAATGGGTGAGGAAGCTTCCATGGGGAGGTAGATGTTGGTCACTGATGACTGAAATGATTTAAATATTCTGAGCTAAAGTTTTGGTTGATGGAAAGGCTGCTAAGAGGGACCATGAAATATAGAGAATAAATCATGGAGAAAAGCAGGGCAAGATTTGTTTTCCAGTATTAAGTTAGGGAATATAAAAGATGAACCAACTTTATGAAAGATTCTATTTTTAACCAATATTTTAGGTAGGGAACTTTCTGAGGACCCCAGAGCACTGAAATTTAACTGGGATGAGGTCTCCAGACTCTTGTAGCAGTTAGAGCTCAGAAATATTCTTAGAAGTTCTTAGAATTGTTGTTCTCTTTTATCAGCCTAAATCTGCAGGATTTTTGGGAGCTCTGTTAGACACTGGAGGATATTTATTGCTGTTTTTGGTAGGCAGCTCTGCCAGCCAGAAAATGGATTTGATTCTGTCCCTGCAGGTTGAGCTTTGCTGCTCCCTTTCCATTGATCCTCCTGCTGCAGTAAAACTCAATACTCCACAGGTTTTTTCCCCAGGAAAAGGAGAAGAGCATCAGAGCACAGCTTCAAAAATCAGATTAAAAGGATTCCTGTGATTTTTTATCATTCTAAATGGCTTCCAGTCTGGATTTGAAAAGCCTTCATTGTTTGCAGGCAGTGACATCAGCCAAGAAATATTCTGGCAGATTTGTTTCCCTCTTTTCTGTGCTCCTCTGGTGGCCGGGTGTGTCCTGCCTCCTTTTTAATGGATTGTTTTTACAATTATGGAGTGGTTTGGGTTGGAAATGATATTAAAATTATCCCATCCCACCCCTGCCATGGCAGGGACGCCTCCCACTGTCCCAGGCTGCTCCAAGCCCAGTGTCCAACCTGGCCATGGGCACTGCCAGGGATCCAGGGGCAGCCACACTCATTAATTTCCTTGAATTTCAATGGAAATATGTAAAACTCAAAGAACATCACGAAATTCTGCAAAGTGGAAGAAATGAACAAAAATAAGGGCTAAATTTAGTACCAGTAAATGAATCTGCAGAGAGTACAAGTGTGGCTTCTTTGGGGTTTTTAGCCAGGGTCAGGATTAAATGTGTGAGAGGGCATTTCTTGTTGGGGCTCAGATGTTTATCAGTTCTTATCTCTGTCACATCTCACAAACCCTGAGCTCTGCAGCACTTCACTCCAACAAACTGAAAATGGAGCCCTGTCTCTCTCTCCAAGGCCTTTGAAGGATAAACTGTCCAATTAAGAAATGACACCTCAATTATTTTCACTTTTAACCCAATACCCAACCACCCGTGCCTGCAATGGGGACTTTTTATCCAATGACACAAAATCACCCAAACCCATGGAGGAGGAGGAGGAGGAGGAGGAGGAGGAGAAGAGGAAGGGGAAAGGGGAAGGGGAAGGGGAAGGAGAAGAAGAAGAAGAAGAAGAAGACGAAGAAGAAGAAGAAGAAGAAGAAGAAGAAGATGAAGAAGACGAAGAAGAAGAAGAAGAAGAAGAAGATGAAGAAGACGAAGAAGAAGACGAAGAAGACAAAGAAGAAGACAAAGAAGAAGAAGAAGAAGAAGATGAAGAAGAAGACGAAGAAGAAGGAGAAGAAGAAGAAGAAGAACAAGAACAAGATGAAGAAGAAGAAGACGAAGACGAAGAAGAAGAAGAAGAAGAAGAAGAAGAAGAAGAAGAAGAAGGAGCAGCCTCCACCCAAAACCTCCACCTTGCTTTCTATCTATTCCTGTATTCTAAACCCTTAAACTCTGAGTTTCCCACCCTGTGATATCACACACTTCTGTTCAAACTCCACACCTTTAATCTCAGTTTTATTATTGAATTCTGGAAGCTTCTCCAGGCCCTCAGGTCAATGCAGTGTTCTCTGGGGGTCAGTGCCTGGCAGCACAGAAAGTCTGGAATTCTCAATTCTCAAATTCAGGGTTCCAACATACAAAGGCTTTGAAATATCTTGGAAAAGCAGGAAAAAAAGAGCCAAAAAAGAGTCTGTGAAGGATATTTTTCCCTTTTGCATTTAATTTCAACTTCTAAGCATCTGTTTTGAGCATGAGGAGTGATTTTCTATCACATGAAAAAGTAACTTTTTAGGCAGGAGAGTTGCTTTATCTGCACTGATTTCCACTAAAGTCATGGGAATTGCCTGAGTTCTCCATACCTTGGACAAGTTCTAAAAAGCTCTTTCAATTTTAATATAATTTGAATGGAATTTCAGTTTTAATGGAATTTCAGTTTCAATGGAATTTGAACTTTAATGGAATTTCAGTTGTAATGGAATTTCAGTTTCAATGGAATTTGAACTTTAATGGAATTTCAGTTGTAATGGAATTTCAGTTTCAATGGAATTTGAACTTTAATGGAATTTCAGTTGTAATGGAATTTCAGTTTCAATGGAATTTGAACTTTAATGGAATTTCATTTTTAATGGAATTTCAGCTGTAATGGAATTTCAGTTTCAATGGAATTTGAACTTTAATGGAATTTCAGTTTCAATGGAATTTTCTTCATATACAAAATAGAAAATGGCCAACCTTGCTGTTGGTTCTGGCAGACCTGAAAAGCAGAAACTTAAATTTAAGTTGGTAAATACAAATTTGATCAACTCCTCCAGAGTAAATTTATTAAGAAGGGAAATTTTAGGCAGGTTTCAGAGGAAATTGTGGCGTGTTGATGTTTCTGAATTGGAAACTGATTTTCTCTTTTTATTCCTCCCGCCAGGCCCATTTGGAGCTGGGAGTTCTCCATACCTTGGACAAGTTCTAAAAAGCTCTTTCAATTTTAATATAATTTGAATGGAATTTCAGTTGTAATGGAATTTCAGTTGTAATGGAATTTCACTTTTAATGGAATTTCAGCTGTAATGGAATTTCAGTTTCAATGGAATTTCAGCTGTAATGGAATTTCAGCTGTAATGGAATTTCAGTTTCAATGGAATTTGAACTTTAATGGAATTTCAGTTTCAATGGAATTTTCTTCATATACAAAATAGAAAATGGCCAACCTTGCTGTTGGTTCTGGCAGACCTGAAAATTTGTAAATACAAATTTGGTCAACTCCTACAGGAAAAGTTTACGAAGAATGGGAATTTTAGGCAGGTTTCAGAGGAAATTGTGGTGTGTTGGTGTTTCTGAATTGGAAACTGATTTTCTCTTTTTCTTCCTCCCGCCAGGCCCATTTGGAGCTGGACAGCAGCGCCATGGATGTGCAGACTGAGGAGGATTTCAATCTGCTCAAAATGAGCAATCCCAAGAGATTTGAAGTGCTCAGGGAGGTCCTGACCTGCCTGGGGCTGAGCTGTGAACGAAGTGAAATTCCTGAATTAACCCCCATTTTCCTGCTCTCTCCTGATGAGGTAAGCTGGGATTTACCCTGCCAGGGAAATTCGGGGTTCTCTTGCAGCCTGCTGCTTGTGTTTGCAGAGTTTTCTGCAGATGTTTCAGGTAAGGAAAAAATTCCATTTTTAATCCATCAGTTTTGGTTCCTGCTGGAAGGAATTCTGAATTTCACCGCAGGGGATTGTGCAGGGTTAATTTAATTATATTTCTGTATTTCTGTTAAGAACTTTTTAGTGTTGTCCTTTTGAAGGCTACAGAAATAACTGCTTTAAAAACCAGGATTTATTATTTTAAAAGTGTAAAATGAAGATAAAAAAATTAATCTCTTGATATTGAGTCAAGATAAAATTTCCAAAAGAGGAGATGGTGAAGAGCAGAGGGCAGGGAATGGGGAGGGGCTGATGGCACAGGGAAATCAACCCCTGATTCCTGAGGGCGTTGCAATATTTCCTGGGAATATTTAAAATTCGAATATTGGAAATTCAAATCAGGGAAATCAACCCCTGATTCCTGAGGGCGTTGCAATATTTCCTGGGAATGTTTGAAATTCGAATATTTGAAATTCAGATCAGGGAAATCAACCCCTGATTCCTGAGGGTGTTGCAATATTTCCTGGGAATATTTGAAATTCAAATCAGGGAAATCAACCCCTGATTCCTGAGGGCGTTGCAATATTTCCTGGGAATATTTAAAATTCGAATATTGGAAATTCAAATCAGGGAAATCAACCCCTGATTCCTGAGGGTGTTGCAATATTTCCTGGGAATGTTTAAAATTCGAATATTTGAAATTCAGATCAGGGAAATCAACCCCTGATTCCTGAGGGTGTTGCAATATTTCCTGGGAATATTTAAAATTCGAATATTGGAAATTCAAATCAGGGAAATCAACCCCTGATTCCTGAGGGTGTTGCAATATTTCCTGGGAGTATTTGAAATTCAGATCAGGGAAATCAACCCCTGATTCCTGAGGGCGTTGCAATATTTCCTGGGAATATTTGAAATTCGAATATTTGAAATTCAGATCAGGGAAATCAACCCCTGATTCCTGAGGGCGTTGCAATATTTCCTGGGAATATTTGAAATTCGAATATTTGAAATTCAGATCAGGGAAATCAACCCCTGATTCCTGAGGGCGTTGCAATATTTCCTGGGAATATTTGAAATTCAAATGTCAGCTCTCAGTGCTGCTCCCGTCCATGTGAGACTCTGCTGTGAACAATTGTCAGGAATTTATAAAACAGGGATTTTCACTTGTTTTTCTTTAAAATATAACTTCAGAATGGGTTGTTGGTTGAGCAAACACGCTCGGTCCGTGTCTGGCGCATTGAGTGACCTGTTAAAAGACATCAGTGGTGTAAGACGGGCCACTCCTCAAAGCAGAGCGGCGATCGATTATCGATTGCTCGCTCATGGACATGGGTGCGAAGAGTTTGAAGGGATGTGCTGCCTGAATCTCTCAGTCCATTCCACATCAATTCATGAAAGCATTCAGAAAATAAAGGACAGCATAAATAAACTTGGCGAGATCACAGGATGGTGGATCGATGATCTGGCAGGATTTTTTGACGTCTCTCCCATATGGAGAGGAATTTTAAAGATGGCATTCTATGTCTTAATAATTCTCTTAGTCCTCGTACTCGTTATCCCGTGCATCTTTGCATGTCTAAGGCGTGTCATGAGTCAGGTGGCAAAAGAAGTGTTTTTAGTGCAAACAGAAGGGGGAGATGTGGGATCTCAGCGCCTCAGCCCTGATGTGCAGAGTCACCGAGACCACCCCTGGGGGGCTCGGAGGTCCTGGAGCGTTGCCAGAAGTGTCTGGTGGCTGCACTTTGATCCTGCACGGGAAACGACACCTGTGTGAGGATGGGAGGATCTCACGGGGGTAAATGGTGAAGGGATGGGTTAATTGTAGTGTGAAACACAGGGTTTGGAATCTCGGTACAGGGGGGTCTGGAGAAACAAGATGGAGGAGTTGGGGCGTGTCCTGTCCTTCTTCTTCTTCTTCTTCTTCTCGGCCTCCATCTTCTGTGGTGGTGGTGGCACTTTGGGATTGGTTCTTACTGAAAGTGCACTGGTCAATAAGGGTGAAAGGCACTGGGGAGAATAGGTAAATATCTCACACGTAGTTTTGGGTATAAAGATCAGTGACCGCCCCGAGGGCTCTCAGTGTGCTCATGGCCGGCGTGCTGTGCTCTGTCGGGCTGGGAGAAAATCTTGTAGATAAAAACCAATAAACACTGAAGACCGAAAAACCTGAAGTCTCTTCTCGTCCTTTGGAGCGCGGGCTGTCCCAAGGCCATCCCGAGCCTTTCCAGGCCATCAAAAACAGCCGGGAACGGGACAGTGTGGCAAATTGGAAACAAAACTAAAACCCATTTCACCTTTTTGGTTGTATTAAAAATGCCCCAGACACAAAGTTTGTTTATTGAACTCTTCCTATTTTTGTTCTCCTCTTTCACTATTTTTTTTCGTGATTGTTTCTGCCCAATGCCTTTGGACTTCTCAAACATACAAATTAAAATTCAGCTGATTTCTATCCAAACTTGCCATCTAGTGGCACACGGCAGGGTTGCAGACCATCAAGTAAAGATATTTTAACTGTATATTCCTCAGTTAAAGTTTATACCACAATTAGTTTTAAAAATTTACATAATTAAGTCTGTTAATAAATTATTTTATTCCTAAACTTTATTAATTTTCATGTGATTTTAGTTGTTTTATTCACATATTTAATGGGAGTTTTGCTGTGTGTAGTCATTGTTTTAACGTCTTTCCTTTTAGCTTTGATATAATTCCAGAATTTTGTGTAAAAGGAAATTGCAACTTGTAACAACAACAGTTCCTAATGAAGAGAGTTCCTAATTGTTTATTAAAATAAATAATGAATGTGTTGGAGTTTAGCTTTTTCACAAATTATTTATTTTCCCCTTCCATCCTGTTCTCCATAGGTTTCCTTGCTTTCCCAGAGAGCCAGGAGATACCAAAAATGTGAATTATTTGTGGAAATCTTTAATTTTATTGCCAGCAAATGATTTTGGGATGATTTCTTAGACCTCCCTGTAATAAAAATACCACAATTAGTTAATTAATGATCAAGCAAGCTCAAGGTCTTGTTAGCAGATCCAAAAATAATGAGAAGAATAATAAATAAATATAGAATAATAAAAGAATAATAAAATTATAAAATATAAAATAATAAATTATAATATAATTTATAAAAATATAAAATATAAAAAATATTTATATAAATAACTATATATTAATTTAGATATAAAATATAATATAAAATATAAAATAATAAATGATAATATAATATTATAAAAATAATAAAATATAAAAAATAATAAAATAATAAAATGATCGAATAATAAAATAATAAAGTATAAAATAAAATAAAAAAGAATAATAAAAATAATAATTTCATATTGCTGAGACTTGGCAGCTCAGGATTGATTCCTCATCCCCAAACTGGAGTTTCTGTTGTGTTTAAAATCTCCTGGTTCAGATTTTCTAATTAATTTCAGGAACCCCAAGCTCCTTTTGCTTATGAGGAAAAAATAATAATTGGGTTTGCTCTGCGATTTTTACTCCATTAAGGAAAAATCAAACTGAGGGGGTTTTTTTTGGGGTAATTTTAAAATTATTTCAGTTTAAAGTGCTGGTTTGGGGAGTTCTTAATTTAGAGCAGGGCTGTAATTTGTAAATTCTGTGGGATTGATTCCCTTGATTCCATCTTTTATCAGAGCTTTCACCAGACCTGTTTCCTGCTGCCTTATAAATAAATATAATAATATATTATAAATATAACATATTATAATATAATTATGTATAATATAGATTATAAATATAATAAATTTTATAAATAAAACTCTAAACTTTATTCTGTGAACAAATAGCTTCTCCTCATTTGCCTTTGCTGAAATTCCTGGGAAATCTGAGTTTTTGAGTTTTTCTGCATCACTGTTGAGATGCTGTTAATAATCCCATCCAACCTGGGCTGCTGATTGCTAGAATCAGTTATTAAGATTATTAAGAATTTAGTGATTATTTAGAATTTAGGATGTTCCTCTCCACTCTGTGAGTGTTGCTTGGTTCCTTTTGCAGAATTTGAAGCTGTTCCTGAGGGGTGGGTTGGAATTTTTTTCACTTTTCTCCCTCAGAATTCACATTTTGAAGTTTTAATTTCCAATTCGCAGACCTTAAAACCACACTCTTGCTGCATGGGTTAAAAAAAGCCAACAAAACATGAGCACAACTGGAATTATTGTATTTTAAATCCAGATTTTAAATCCAAATTATTATATTTTAAATCCAAATTTTAAATCCAAATTATTATACTGCAAATCCAAATTTTAAATCCAAATTATATTATATTATATTATATTATATTATATTATATTATATTATATATTATTTAAATCCATATTATATTATTTTATATTATATTATATTACATTACATTACATTACATTATATTATATTATATCGTATCGTATAATATAATACCAATCATATCATATTTTAAATCAAATAAATTGTATTTTAAATCCAAATTATTATATTTTAAATCCAAATTTTAAATCCAAATTATATTTTATTATATTAGTATATAATATATATTATTTAAATCCATATTATATTATGTTATAGTACATTACATTACATTACATTACATTACATTATAGTATATTACATTATATTATATTATATTACATTACATTACATTACATTATAGTATATTACATTATATTATATTATATTATATTATATTATATTATATTACGTTATAATATTTGCTCATCTGAAAACTTGAATAAAAACTCCTCAGGCTCAAAATTTTTTGTGTATTTGAGTAATTCAGTAGCTGGGGCAGAATCAGCTCAGAGTCTTGCTGCATGGGTTAAAAAAAGCCAACAAAACATGAGCAGAACTGGAATTGTTATATTTTAAATCCAGATTTTAAATCCAAATTATATTATATTCCATTACATTATATTATATTATATTATATTATA